GCACTTCAAAACGGCTGCTTTGAAATTGCGCGGGCCTGTGGGAAACCCTCCACCCGAAAAACCTGCAGTGTCTCGTGTCGGGGCCTCTAGGCCCTGTCCGGTGGGGTGAAACGACACTGAAAAATCATCCCGTTATTTTTCAAGGGGCGGCCAGGACCTGAAAAGCGTCCTGGGCCACCCCCTTTTTTTTCTCGATTTTTGCCCTGGGCGGACCGGACACCGGACCCGGACATGTTGTTCTGGACTGTCTGGAACCCGGTCCGGAAGCCCGGTCAGTTACCATGATACTAACCGATTAGATTTTTGACTTGTCAGATGCCGCACTTTCCAGTGAAGGGGGCTTGCTAACAGTTTGTTGTGTACCGGGGCTTGTTCTTGTCATGGTCTGGTTCTGCTGTGCCTGGGAGAAGGAACGTGCATTGCAAAGATTCACTTGGGAACCCCGTGGCAATGAAGGTGAGCTGTGGAGGGGATCCGGAGATTCCTCTTGAGGCAAGAACTGAAGCCTGTAATGATGAGCCATGTGAGGCTTACTACTGGAGCGCAACAGAATGGGGCCTCTGCACTCTTCCCTGTGGAGGAGGAAAAGCCTTCCGCGATCTCCTTTGCATTCAGCAAAGCACAGGTGCGGTTGTAAGGCATGAGCTGTGCAGCGAAAATAAAAAAAAGCCAATCCTGGTGAAGGACTGTAATTCTCAGGTGAGACAGAGAGTGCTTTATTAGCAGCTTTAATTCTGAAGTCAAAGCGAAGGCTGCCTGACTAAGGGGAAGATGCAGACTAACTTCAAAGTTCATACCCAAAAGGGCCAAAGCGTAAAAATGATTTAGCTATGAAATCATTAATAAAAACCTTGTCAAATAACGATCGCTCGTTCAAAAAACAATAGCACTTCGTGCCTAGTGAACCAATTTGACCCTTTGTGATGTCTGGCATCAATCACTACTTATGGGGTATGGCTCCATATCACCTTCCCTTCCGTACAAAAAAAAAAAAAAAAAAAAAAAAAAGAAGGTCCTAATGGACCTGGGCCGCCTGGCTCCATATCCATTCTGGGAAGCGCCAGTTCTGTTCCTATTCCACTGGCAAGTCAAGTGAATTACAAAAGAGTACACATGCACGCTCCTTCCCTTTATGGCAAGAAGGCCCAAGGGGCGCATTGATTACTTCCGACAGGAAGGATGTACCCCCCCTCACCCCTGCCTAAGTTAGCCTGATTTACCTAGCGCCTGCTCCTGGTTGCTAGTCCATTTTTATTATTACTTTTCTAGTACCTATTTGCTTGCCTACTTGGGCCCTATCCAGCCTGTTCCTGTCAGCTCCCTGGCTGCCATGATCCTTACTAAACCCTAAAACACTTTCGGGCTTGGTACCCTCTGAGGGTTCTCAGTCCGAGTCTATGCTAGCCTGGATCGGAGCTAACTCACTACCGTCTTCACCCGAATAGAACGCCTGGTCATTGTAGTCCTATCTGGACTGAAAGTTGCACCAAATACGGCTATAATGACTAGGCGTTCTATTCGGGTGAAGACGGTAGGCTCTGGTTGAGCATCCTCTAGCGCTTACGTATTGCTCTCCTCTTGGGATGTCCGCGCCCAGATGCATCTGAGGCGGGAACCCTCTATCTGCCCCAACTTCCTGTTTCTCAAGGTCCCCTGCACAAATTTGTCAAGGATATCCTGCTTCCTCTCGCGTTCCTGTACTACTTGCTTCTTGACTTTGAGCCAGTCCGCCTGATATTCCGTGTCCGGCAGCTGTCTGAGGTCCTCTCACGCCCTCTCTGGGGCCACTTCCATTACCTCAATGGTTTCCTTGCGTCTTCTCTTCCAGACTTCCCATAGTGTGAGTGAGCGCACACACCAGTAGAGCTTCAACGCCCACCTGTCCACCCCTCTGGGTTCCTGGTGCCCCAGGAGGAAGGCTAAGGGCTCGCATGGCAGGTTGGCTCCTGTGGCCGCGTGCCACAGGCCGCGGGTGTAGTCCCATAGCTGTTGAGCTTTTGGGCAGCTCAGCAGACAGTGGGAGATGTCCTCTGGTACTCCGTGTTTGCAGATTGCACACAGGTCATCAAAAAGCCGCCTGTTCACCTGCACCCTGGGCGCTTGCTAAGCCATTTGTTAACGGGGAGAGCTTGGTAGACTAACAGCCATTGCATGCTCCTTACCTTAGTGTTGCGGATTGCCAAGATCACGTTCCAGGGTATCCTGGCGAAATGGTCCGAGCTACCAGGCATGCTCTTTTCCCATCTCCAAAGCAAAGTGTCTCTCGTGTTTGCTGATCTCTGCCGCAGTCTGTAACCCAGCTTGGTTGTGTACCACCTGCCCTTTCCTAGTATCTCTTAGACCTGATTTGAGCATATGACAATGATCTTCAAAGCAACGCAATGTTGATTGAAGAATGGATGTGGTATGCACGGCTCCCACACGGGCCTTGTAGGGCCTGCCATTGGTCCAGATTGAGCCCTTCGTCAGCACAGGCATGTGGATCGCAGAGCCATGGCCATTTCCTTAGGGCCTAGGCAGGCTAGATAGGTGTGGGAGTGTGTTTGTTTGTTTGTTTGTTTTCCATCCTGCAAACACCAATGTCCAGCCATATATACCCACCCCCGCAGTCAAAGCTGCACTTGGTGAAAACACGGAAAAGTAATTGGGACATAGTGTGTTTGAGCCTTGAGGGTGTTTTCTTGTGTTTTCTTTTGTTTTGGGGGGGTTGCCTGTATTTTTCTGAGTTTGTTTTGTCTGTTCTGAGTTCGTGTTCGTCTGCTTCAGTTTTTGTGCGGTCTGGATGTGTCGTTTCATTTCTTGTCCAGAACACTTGTGTTGTTTGGACCAGTAGGCCTGATTCAGGCCCAGCGGCCGTTTTTCATGCCTGGCGCACTCAGTTTGGGGCTGAACCATGTTTTGGTCCAGCCCCTGGTTTGTCCTTTGTGAGGACACCTCTGCTGATGCAGCGGAGGAGCCTGGACGTCCGGTTGGTATCCAAGCAGGCCATTTTTAAACCAAGGGCATCAGGGCCAGGACTTGGGCCTGCATCATGGACCATCGATTAGAAGTCTGAACGAACGGCCGAGGTAGATTCCGGTAGGCCCAGCGCTGTATATATCTGGGCCAGCCTCCATTCCAGGCACGCGACATCCTGGGGGTCGCTCAGCCATGCTGCTGGAGCAGCGCTAAAGCAGCTGCACTAGAGTAGAGTAGAGGAGGTAGGAGGACAGTGGAGTATAGGCGAGGACGTGCTGTGCGAGGAGAACTTGCTTTGGCGGCTTACCTTTGGGCGCCATAGCTGGAGTTCGTCTTCAGGCCACCTCGGCCACCTGCAACTCAGTTCAAGATGAACCTGGCCAAGAGAGAGAGAGAGAGAGAGAGAGAGAGAGAGAGAGAGAGAGAGAGAGAGAGAGAGAGAGAGAGAGAGAGAGAGAGAGAGATCCTGGCAGCATTAGCCAGTTTCGCTTATGATGAGGCGCGGAACAGTTTCCCCAAGCATCCTAGCTTGGTATCTTGAAACCCACTCCCTACTGCACTATCGCCTATCCAAATCCCCCTCCCCTGCATTCTTAACTTGTCCCCTACTTCCTTAAACCCTAAACCCTACTTTCCCTTCCTTCTTGCTATCTACCTTCTGTTCCAGCCTTCTGCTTCTTATTCACGAAAAAGCTTTAAATAGTGTACTAATCCCTTGCATTTGTTTTCCCCTTCTTCACTCTTCCCTACGCTCTCCCTGTTGCTGGTCTTGTGTGGACCATTGAAATACCAATTTGGCCCCTTCACTGTTGCTATCCTTCCTTCCTCCCATTAGCACCGTTTGCTGAAACTTCTGAACCAGCTCCCGAGCATGTTTCGGGTTGCGTTGGGCTTGCTTGCGGACTCGGTGCCATTGTGCTGTGATGTCTGTCTCGAGAAGGTTGTAGAAGGTTTCCCGTGCTTCTCTTCTATGCATTGGTCATTTCGCTATCGTCTGCTGACATCTTCTCTTCCATATGGTCCACAGCTCGTATGGGTGAATCAGCTGAAAGGCTAGCGTTTGCTGCTTCTGCCACGTTTTTGGGAGGCTGGAGCCTATCAGCAGCGGTTCCCTGTCTTCTGGAAACGGGGCATCCGATATCCGTTCCCATAACTCCTTTGCCTCCCCCCACATGTATACGGCCTGCAGGAATCTTAGAAGACAGTGGGGTCTTGTCTCTTCTGCACCCTCAGTGCACTGGATGCACAGCTGATCGGCTGGGTCCCAGTGATGGAGGCTGCGGCGTTCGTATATCCACACATTCACTGGCAGGGCTACATGAAGGATCAGCCACTGCATACTCCTCACTCTGCCAAGCCTTATTGTGTGCAAGAGGGTCCATGGCATCTGCGACACCCGCAATCTGGGTACTTCCAGTTGCTTTTCCCAGCGTTTTGCTAGTCTCCGTCAGTGGATACGAGCGCCTTCTTAGCCGGAAGCCAATTCTTGTTGTGTAATGAAGTATGTTAATTCTTCTGGCAACTCCCAAGGATCCATCTCTTATGTTCCATGCCAATTCTGGTTGTGTAATGAGTCGACCTCCAGATCCTCGACTGCCATAGTAGGGGCATAGATTGTGAAGTCTTCTGCATCCACCACCCGCACCTTTCTCACTGCATCTTTGCGTTTAGCAACCGGTGTGTGTGAGGTTTTGTCCAAGGTACTAGTCATTGTCCCTGGGTTTTCTATCATATACATGTAAGCACTAAGCCATTTTTCCCCTGGCCTTGTTGTCCCCCCCACCCGGAAGGCCTCTGCTGGTGTTTCCTCATGCTGCCAAGTAGTCCATTCGCTGCCATTCCACTGAGGTCCCTTCTCTAGTAGTTTCCTCCATTCGCCTGGGATGGATATGAGGATGTCATTGAGGTTTTCCAGGAGCCGGTGGCTTCCTTTCATCTCCGCCTGAAGTTCTCTTCCCGTCTTCCATTGCCTCCTTTCCTCTGACCATAGGTGCTTGACCTGCCATGTGCCATGCTCCACCCATGTTCCCCATTTGGAGTCTCCTGCTGAGACGGTGTGTGGCTTACCCTGCATATCCTTTATCCATGGATTGCAGAACAATGGTTGTCAGAGCACCTCTTCTCTCGTTCAAGGGCCGGGAATATTTCCCCCTAGAGCCTAAGGAGTTGAGCCCAGTATGAGGTTTCTCTTCCCCCGTGATCTTCCGCTGTTCGTTCCTCTCTATTCTCACCCCTCCTCGCCCAACTTTTGCTCATCGCCCAAAGCAAGCCGGTCATGTTGGGAGGCATTTCGTACCTCGCGAGCCGGCATATGTGCTCCCTGGCCAGTTCCACCCAGTGCAGTTGTGTGTGCGACGTGCGTGATTATCTTGACCACCCACTCTCTTTGAAGAGCCTTCACCTGCTGCTCCGGGTGAAGTACACCCAGCCCTACATTGCCTTTGCTTTTAATGACGTACCTCCAGGCTACCTTGGAGATGAAATGGGGTTTCGTCAGGGCTGTGCCAGCAATCGGCCGGTTGGACCGGGCCGGATCCAACCGGGGCCGGTTGG